ATGAATACATGTCCTTCTGTGCATTTGTCTGGTTGTCTATTCTAAAGTGAAAACAGGTGAAGTGATGAAAAACTAAAGAAAATCGTGTGAAGACAGTAACAAAATGGCAGCACCGTTACACACTCAGTGAATAATAGTTAAAATAATAATAATAATAATCATTATCATTGTTATAAATCAGTAACTGATGTTTTGGAAAAAAAAGTATTTACCCTTCTTTCATTACTAACTTTTATCAACCAGAGCATCAGTGTAAATCAACGAGTACTGTACAATTCATCTACTTTTAATGAAAGAGCTAGTGGTGTACACAAATGGTCATGTGACTGAGAAGCTCAAAGATTAAAATTTAGGAATAATAGGTCATTGAATGTTAGCTAACACTGCTGGTGGGTCGCAACACACAGGTAAGCGTTACAGTCGCCAGTCTGACTGTCATCAAGCTATGCTGAAGAATCATATATTTGGAACACTTAAATTCCGTAATGGATGTTGGATCATGATAATATTTAAAATGAAATCAACCAAATAGCTATAAAAGTTGTTTAGATCGATATATTCTGGACTACACCAAACTTTCTTTCCGTTGGTAGACATGCTTCTTGGACAAATTATGCGATATTAGAGAGGAAAGGATGTAGCGAACAGCAAAGTCGAATATTTCTTCTTTGAATAGCTGCTTATTCCTTCATTCACTGGGAAGCAAATACATCTAATCGAAGAGTCCCAAACAAAACCAGACGATCTTGTAACACTCGACTGTTAGCTATGGTGGAACGCGCAACACTTATTTTTGTTTTAAAATATTGGATCAACACGTGCTGTATAAAAACAATCCCTGGAATGTGAGTGAGCCTGTCTGCAGAGCATCCAACACTACCACAGTTGGGTTTCTTAAGGATTTGACTGACTTCAAGGGAGACTTCACCATGAAATGAAATCAGTCAGAAAACTGATGAGAATCAGAGTGCTTTATTCTGGCCTCTGATTCGTCTGAAGTGTGCACTTCATCTCTAAAATCAAGAGAGGATTGAGCTCTAGTGACTTAGGCTATGTGGAGAAAATATTACCATTCTTCCAGTTAGTTGAAATTCAAAGATCTACGATATGGAAGGATCATGATTCAATATTATCGACCAAAAATATCTTTCTCTGTAACTGAATCTGTGGATTCTGTGTATCTCCATTCCTCTTAAGCTTTTTGGTAACAACACTTAATAATCTGTTAATCTACCCTTTTATTTAGGTAAATTTCCTAATGAAATTCTAAAAGATGTTTAATAATTGTACAACTTTTAGGAAGATTTTATGAAATTTTAAAAAGATTTAAAAGCACTCAGCTTTTAGTTGTAAGTGCATTACGAAATTTCTTGTACAACCGGCAAACTTCAAGAGTTAACGACAATGTTTTTATCCACTAAATTCGTCTTATTATGTATTCATATTACTAGACATAAACTCAGGTCAGCAATGTGATTCTGAACATTAGTCAAAAAGTTGCTTAGTTATATTGACTAGTCACTGCGCTTTCAACATTGCCATCACTGGGAGCAGTTCAGACATCAGATAGCTGATTATAACTCAGGGTGACACAAGTTTGCAGACATGCTTTATTGATGAGTGCTTATAGGCATAAAACTTCGGTCTAGGGTTTCTTAACGATTAAATCATTGAGTTCAAGCGTTTTTCACTGTTTTTTTAAATGAATATAGGTCAGTAAAAGATACCGTTTTTTATTAATGCTATACAATTAGACAGTATTCTGTCTAAGGTTAAAAACAATTTCAATAAATGCCAGTAAACTAATATTTAAAAAAGTTGAAAATGTACACTGAACACTTTCGAATAAGCATCCATTTAATAAGGCAGTTTTATTAGCACAATTTAATTTGATTACACAATATTCAATAAGAAGACTAATTAACAACAGAAACAAAAGAAGAAAGTTTAATTTAGACTCCAGTCCAGGTAAATTCAAAGACATTTAATTGTATGATTCTGTTAGACAGCATATGATCTATTGATACATTCCAGTAACCAAATACGATTGAATGTATTACTGAAGTTCTGTTGTTGGAGACTTCATGAATGAGTGAATAACCACACTGATAACTTCAGAATACAAACAATAATTAAACATAAAAGAATCACGTTACTATTCGACAACTTATTTCTCATCCCTACTAAGTTTCCGGTAGACTAGACCAACGCATGAATATGAAAGGCTTGTTTGGCTTTCATTAAATAGCATCCTCTTTAGGATAAAGAAGATATCTTATTCAGTACTAAGGGGCCCGATTTTACGAAAATGATAATGGGCTTCAAGCATTTGGCCTTCTGTTTTCTTTTTATTTATTCCTATGTCTATTGGAACACAGTGGTTAGTACTCATTTTCGGGGATAAATTTCAAAGTAAGACAAATAAGTTGATGGGTGAAGTTGTAAACCTTCAACGCCTGAAGTTTCAGTGACCTACTGAACAGATTTAAACTAATGATCTACATCGTATTGCTATTTTAACTACTGAATAGAGATAGGTTGAGAAAAGTGAAATCATGCTGACCGCTGGAATCTATGGTGGGAGATTCTAGGTTATATGATTTGGAGAGGATGGTTCAAATGCATTTGCGTCATGCTGTTATTCAAACTGTAGTATGAATCAGTCTATTGTCTTTTCGACCTTCATATTTAGAGTTATATTATTTTCATAGCAGAGTCACTATCTTATTTTAGTGTGGTGATTTGGGTCATTAGACATCAATGCTAAATTGCATTGTTGATAATGTCTTCACTGTATTACTAATAAAATAATTACAGTAATGTAAAACAATAAGGCAGAAAAAAAGTGATTTGTGATAAGGAATACTTCTATCTAATTAGGAGACAACACTGTTGGTTTTTAAAATGAAGCATTAAAAAGATAAGAAGTTGTGGAAGTGTGTTATATTAAGCCCATTTTAAAACTCTATCCTGATTGCATCATCAACTGGAAGGAAGAAGGTACAGACTCACATTTATTGGCATACAATTTAGAAAGCCTATAATATATATTCTTCAATGTACACCGAGAATAGTGTAGAACAGCATACGCATTATAATTTGAACAGAGAGATTCGCAAATGGAAGTCTTATTTTAAAAAATGATATAACCAGCTAATCTAGATACCATAAGTGTTCTTCAAAATTCAGCTAAAAATTTGGGTCGTGGCAGAGCTGAGGCCAGCAGGCGTTGAATCATTGGGTTGGTTCTGTTTTAATTCTTACCCACCATGTCTGACTAGTATTCTGCTAATATAAAGCGAACCCAGGTAATATCACTCCAGTTAATCTAAATATATTGATTAATACTTATAATATCATCTCATAAACTGACATTAGTCAGGTAACTATTGGAAATCAGGCAGTACTGGATAACTATTATGTCCTAGTTTAGAACTACCCAACCGCACTCATAGATGGCTATATCAGCGAAAGAGAAGAGAAGAAGCTACTACCCATAAAATTTAAACTCTGGACGAAGCCTGCATGCCTATGGTGTCTATTGTATTGTAATAAAAATGCTATGTATATTAGAGTAGAGCCTGAGATGAGGATCTAATTGAAAAGTAAATATTTCTTCGTTCAATTTTTCTGTTTTCTAAATGTCTAAATGGGGATTTTTTCTATATTGATTAGTTAAGGTTTAAAGGTGAACTGCAATAACTGAGTGATAAACTAAGTTAAGATCACTTGTCAGTGAAATAAAACGCTACTTTTATAGGAGGTAAATCAGTCTAACAGAAGTTAATTATTAACTACTTGTTGTACTGAAATAACTGCGCACTTATTTCATTTCCTTGACTTATCCAATCGTTTCTATGTTCCCGAAACTAAACTTTCAATATGTATTTATTTAATGACACGGTAAGATTACCGCTTCAGTAATTACAAACCAATGTGATGACAGGTTACTCAAGATTAGTAAATGAGTGACTTAGACGAACAGAGTTGAGATTTCTTGTCTTATACATCATACTATTTCAATCAATTAACTATATCTGCTTTGGCAATGTGATATTAATGGTTCTAGTTTTCGAATTGCAAGTATTAGATATTAGGATTGAATTCCAGTTCCCTTCGAGGATATTATTAGTCGTAGTGATATAAGAATATAATTTAGACACTGTTTTGGGGTACACTTGCATAATAAAATATTTCTATTCGACGTAGTATAGTGAGAGGAAGGTGGCTTATCTACAAACTCATACAACTTTCTCAAACGAAAATACAATACACAAATCATTGTAATTACAATAACTGATATTTTACGAACTACTTCATTCTCAAATTGTCTACCAGAATGCTATAATTACAAATGGTAATGATAACAGTAACAGAAGAACTTGTCAACAAATAAGTCTAAGAGAATAGCTGCGACATTATTAAGACACTGATTAGTAAAAAAAGGTGACAATGGGGAAATTAAACGTAAACTGTTGAATTGTAGTCAAAACATTAAAGGAAACTGAAAACGCTGGCTTCAAGAGTTCTTTAAACATAAATAAGAGTTCAGTAAGTCGGCGAAAGAGTAATATATAGGGCAGAAAATGCCAAAGTCATAACAAAGTTTTGTCATCTATCGATGGAGCGAAGCGTGAGTTCAATACATTGATGTGAGTATGAGCTGACAGTTGTGCTGGAACAGTTATTAACAAATAAATCACAGTGTATCACTGTGAGTTTTATCAAATTAAATTATTCTGTTATGGGAGTATCATTAGTTTTTGAATAAGCCATGGTATTATTACCTTGTGTATTAAAATTCCTGTGGCTATTCAATAAACATAACTATAAGACTTAAATTCAACTTTGTATTTTATCTTCCTAAACTACAGTGTGGGTGCTTATTTTATCGTCTTAAATCATAAAAATCAGCTGGAAGAAAGTTATTAAGGGTTAATATAAATAATAAGTATGTTGATTTCAAAAAGAGTATTATTGATAGTAATAAGATTACTCACCTTCGATGAATTTCAGAGTATTCGGATCTACGACTGAGTATTTTCTTAACTGTTGTATAGAAGGCCTTTTTAAGTGTTCTTTAGATCCACGGGATGTTGTTTGAGCTGGGTCACATATTTCCATTTCATTTTTAAGCATTGTTCGTTGACTTTTCATTCCACCGTTTCTGTCTGTGGTGTCTAAATGACAAGATTTACCAAGTTGATTCTCCGGTATTATCTGTTCCCTTGTGTCAACAGTAATAAGCCTGTTAATTTTTTCCGAATTATTTGCGTCAATTCCTCCAAGTCTATCAGAATCAAACTTCGACCTTGTCTTTAGTGTGGAACGCAAAGGTCGGGGAAGGGAGTTTGGATTAGACGGTGTAGGATTTAATTCCGTCGATGAGCCATCCGAATTTTTAATTTCAGAGTAATTTTTAGTTATCGCGGGATAAACGAGACATTCTTCATCGGCGTCAGCTTGGCTGATTGCCATGTGTAAAGATTACAAATAATTTCCAATGCATCAGCCTGAAATATACGATTTGAAATTGTATATGCTTGGCCACTCGGCAAATGAGTAACAGATAAATTACTGAGACAAATGTCTCACTTACAAATTATAACTAATAACTGGCCAATCAGATTGCAGATAGCCGTAAAGGTCATATCTCCCACACAAAATATTCAGAATGAACTACTGATGCATTAAAACACTAGGGAAATTCTCATTCACTTAGTTCGCAGAGAATCAGACAGGTGAGTAGGAATCTGCAGGAATTTCAAAATATTTTGTGTAAAATGTTCCAAGCAATGTAATGTTAGGCAACAAATTAGAGTCGAACTGTATAACACGTTGTAGAAAAAATATTGAACATGTGAGTGAAACAAAAGTTTTGGAATTATAAAGGTAAATATATCTTACTGAGTTTTATTATATAAACATTCTAAAATCAATCTTCAATTTCTTTTTATTTTCACATGATTTTGTTTGAATGCTTCAAGTCGCTCTCATTTTGTGGCCAGTTGCGGACTATACGGGCGTTAGGCTGGTTGTATATACTGTACATATTTGTGAGTTGTCGTCATAGAACGGTTTTTAGGTATTGGCTAGAAGTATAAGATGCTAACAGTAATTTAAAACTTATTCTAAGATGTCTGATAGTTGTTATATATATTACTATTACCATTATACGTAGTTGTCCTTGAAACTTCGGTGATGGGCTTGGCATATGTATAACGGAAACACATTACCGATGAGATTGCTGTTAACTGAAGTAAACTAGTAGGTTGCTAGTAATGTTGTCTATCACAGTTGATGGATATGATTCATTAGGTTTACATCTTAACCACGCTAACACATTCTATTAGACTGTTACTCGTACCACCCTTTGACTTAAACATAGGTCATCATACTATATCTGTTCAAATGCTTTCGTTTACTGCATATCCCACTTCGCGTGAGTTTTTCTGCGGTTGCAGCATATGTGGTACGGTTCTCACTCCTCGTTTGGTATTCCACCGCATTTAACATAGGTGTATAGGCTATATCATGATTGTTCGTTAAATAGCACAAAGTCCCACTATCTGCTTGGTCACTAATAAGCCTCTCTGAAGACGGAAGATCTAAAGGTTGACAGAAAGTACTCTGGCCACACTTGTCTGATATCCATGTATACCTAATAAATTGCAAATGTAGGCAGTTCGCCGGGTACTCGATCATTTTTGCTTCTGTTCTAATGGATGAATTCAAAGGTAATGGCCAGGTTATCGTCTTACATTAAAGTTGAAAGGAAGTACTGTATATTCACTCTGCATAGTTCCATCACAACTTTTTTGATGTAAGTGAAGAACAATCATCACATTAGGACTGCTTCCCTACAGTCAGCTTAGAAGTCATGCTTCCTTAATACCTTCAATAGCCATATTGGGTGTGTTTAAGTGACGTTATGCAAATTTTCTCCATGCTGTTAAGTAGTTTTAGGATGCATTTTTTGGTTGTCATTGCTCAAGTGTCTTGACTTCATACGAGCGTGACGCCATAGAACCAGGTGTTACTTTATTTTTCCTCGTGCATTAGCTTAATGGGTTCCTTCACATCTCGTGGCAACAGAATCATCACTTTGTAACCAAAAATCTACGGTAAATTAGAAGAGTTCGCGTAACACTTCCCCTATGAGTTAATCACTGACTCAGCATTGTGATGGCCTACACTTGATAATTTCACTAAACACCCGGAATGAATTAGTTGAAGTATAATCCCGTCCCATGATTTACAAGTTCTAAATCAAGTGCTAAAGACAAGCCACATCTAATTGCTTTCTGATTTGATATAGTTTCGATTGTTATAACCTATGGACGTCATATATGGCTTGGTTATGTTCTTCAAATCTCGTGTGACATGGAGTCTTACTGTGTTCACTTCTGTTAACTTGGTGTATATGTTAGCTTCGATTTTATTCAGACGGATAACTTAATGAGTCTCTTAGGAGGGCGTATTGCCTATTTTTTCGCTTACTTGATGTGCATGAATTCCTCTGGTTCTTCGTTAACTCCATGACATTCATCTGGTAAATATTCTTAAATTCGTTTAGTAGCGTACGTATTTTTCTGAAAGCCATCGGTCGATGGGTTTAGACACATTCCACCGATTTTCACTAGGATGATATGTAGATATCACAGATTTGGGTTTTATGGCTCTGTAATTTGGTGAGTTTTTGTTTACTTGCGAATCGTGTAGCTGTTTTATTACTTCGATTAGTTCTTATGGTAGCTTTCGACTATTCTTATTTTCTAGCTGTTACCAGATTTGAGGTTAGAAGCATTAAAATCTTGGCTTTCCTAGTTGAGGTTTACCATATCTTAGAAATCTCTGGGACACAAGTTTGGTTTAGGAGAATTCGGATGTCCTAATTGAGTTATGGCTTCAATTTTTAAGATATGTGACAATAGATCCGGGGTAATAAGAAGGTGCAAGCTGTCTGACAGTTTCTCAGAACGCCAAGAATTAGAAGATGGAGAAATATGGAAATATGCCAGTTATTGACTTTCGTCAATATCTTATACACCATTTATTTTTCTACACAACCCACAGGTTGTATTATTCCACTTCTGTTTTTTCCTGTGCATTCTTAAAGTGTGACAAATTGAACTGATACGCTTCTGCTCAGGGTTATATTCTTATCAATTTAATAATAATTTTTCGTTCTAATGGCATGAGCAATTAGTTTAAGCTTATCAGCATATGTTCAAACTGAACGCAAGACCATTGAACCTCCGACATTTGCACATATTATAGTAATAAGTCTTAATTACCACAAATCTGTACAGGACAGGACTGCGAGAGACTTCAGCCATCCCATGGAGTTACATTACATGAAGTTTTAGTCCACTATGGTAATGCCTTTGTTTATTAAGGTTCCTTAAGAGGAAGTTAGCTCGGAGAATTCCTGATCGTGCTTGTATAACTAAAACATCTTGGAGTCGGCGGATTATGGGGTATTATAAGCTAAGTCATGTACATACTTATCCTCTGACTTTTGGGATCTCGGTGTGAGACACCTACCTGGACTGTTGAGCAATATCACTGGCTTTCACGCATGACTTATAGTGTTATCCCATGTGCAACTTCATTACTGTACATTCATTTCCTTTTTCTTGTCTTTATAGCCCCATTTGAGCTTTGGCTCTACCACCTGTGTATATATTCGGGATAGGTGAGGGTATCAAGCTAACACATGTCAGCTGAAGAAGTGGCTCGTGTAACTCCTGATCTGACAGGCTTGTTATCTACTTCAATACCACCTCCTGGATTTTCAGTTGGCGGGTCCACGACTTCATTGAGTGATTTGGCAGTGAATACCCCGGGCAAGTCGCTGAATATAAGCTATCCTCCTCACTGGCCTACTACACTTGTAAGTTCCAATTTTTAAGTGAAAGAGCTTCATTTACTCAGCCTAGAATGTTATCACATTTACACTAGTAAACTTTTTTGCTTACTAACCAAAATTATCTGCTGATTCATATCACTATATGACGTTTTGACGAGGATTAGTGTAAAGATAAATCCTAAGTAGTAGGGAATTCGAATGTATCCAAGATTCCTGAAGACGGATAAATTTTTATTTTGCCCATTTTTATCCGTACTTTGTAGCTTGAAACGATCAATTTTGGTTATTTTGCGAAGCATGTGCCTCAGGTCCCATCCACTTGCTAGCTTTATGGTTTGCTTTTGTATATTGATCTAATTGGACGGAGGTATATAAATCTTGTTGCAGCGGGGTTCGATGGCAGCTTGTGCTCAACACTTGTTAACTTGGGTTTATAACCAACTTTAAATGTATACCTGATAAGACAGTCTGTTTTTATTATATTGTTCATTCTTTGCGTTCTGAGAAGAACATACAGCTTCAGCTACATTGCACTCGGTTCCCTGGCAACACTTTCTAATGTCTTCAAGACTGCCCACAAGCCTTCATTTCCCTTTTCAAATTATCTTCATGTCACCGTTGGATCCAATTCCCACTCGTAGCTTCCCGTTCGAGTTCCACATGGCGATCTACCTAGGGTATGTTCAATTGAAGGTCTCCTTAATGTATGTAATTCACCTTACTAACTTAGATGACATGGGCATTTACTTGTTACCAGGGGATAGTCTTATAGAATTTAACCATGCGGTTGAGGCTGTTGTCGTAGGAGAAGATGCTGACAAAATGCAGTGTTCTAAGGAGAAATCTCATTTTCGGCTTTCGGTTCACCCCTGTAAAATGTAAGCTCCTACTGCAGGACCGGTCTACACCAACTCCTAGCTTTAAGGATAACGAGTGAAGTGTTGACCACTTCACTTAATTAGGAATTTGCATCAGCCCTTACAGACTGATTACTGACGAAATCTCAACACAGATACAAAAGAAATAAGAACAAATTAGTTCAGCGAAGTCTCTTTTTCGGTGAATTCATTCACTTAGCTGTACAGTCGCAAATGTATACAATTAATTTTGTGTGTGTGTGTGTACATTAGGTTTGTCAAAATCAAAATAACAGTTAGTGTGGGTTTTTGATTATATCATCAAAATAATAAAGAAATTAAAATGTGTGATTAATAATCAAAGTTGTAACTAAGTGGGGCTTTCCAGCATAATGTCGCCTCAGTTGTTGAATCAGCTTGATTCGCTCTTTGACGGTCAGATATGTTAGTCTTTCTTTCAAACGTAAGTTAAGTTTTCGTCCTCATGGTGTCTATATGACGTTTGAGGCCTCTGGGTCCATTTTTTAAACTTCCAAGTTGGTATTCCATCAGGTTCTTCTGATTTTGTGGCTTTTAGTTACTTCAAAGCTATGATTTATTGGAGGTTCGGTATTCACTGGTAGTTCTGTATTTTCAAGTATTGGTTTTGTAGGGATTTCGTTTGATTGCATGGAAGATTTCATGATGAGCTGTATTTACCTGTGGTATATCCGGATGAGTTGCAGATGGTGTTCAATTTAAGAGTCATTTGATGTGATCATCCCAGCATTTCCTTTGTTCCTCCTCTTTGGTAATTAGGTTTCCTTCACTATCTTTCACTGTCTCCATTTGTGATGTCTGAACCGGATATTTTATATAGTGTTGTGATATCTCTTACTTATGCCTTGTTCTGCTTTAATCGCCAGTGTCCTATAAAGCTTACCTTCATTAGCACTCTACTTCACTCGATTGTTCATCACGCTGAAAGTTGTTCATCTTCCCACTGGCTTATCTTGAGTTTCACCATCCTTTTTTCCCTCTATCGGCTAATTGTCTATATAGAGCGATTCTTCTTCCTACCTTTCTTGTCGAATGTGTCTACAGGGGTTTGCTTCCACGTCACTTCCTGATAGTTCCAAGTGTTGGCCTGTACAGGTTTTTTGGTTAAGTTGCTGAGTGTTTCCAACTGTGCTCTGATGGCTTCCGTAAAAGTGGTCTTTAGTCTGAGTGTTGTGGTTTTGAAGGTTTCCTGCAACAGATAGTTTAAATCAGCTCCTCTCTTGCATATGTCAAGGGGGCTCAATCTCCACTTTCTTAAGAGGTAAGATGGAGTCTGATTTTCAGTATTTCCACCTAGTGAAACCCACATTTCCTTGCAGTCAGAAAGTTTTTAAGGTGCAGAAGTCTTCAAAGAATTCTCTGTTCTCGTTCATTTCAACGAGTACCTCTCTATTCCTGTGTTGTGTGCCCCATTTTGGCTGGCGTTCACGTGACTAGGGTCGTGTCCGTTACTGTTTGCAGTGGTTGGTAGAAGTCATTCACTGGGGTCTGTGCTGTTAACAGGATCGTATAAATGTGACTTCCCTTCCTTTTTAGTTGGAACTTGCTATTATGATCCTGGGAGAGATTAACCCCCATTGTATGAAGGCCTGACTTCGATGCTGTTGTTGACTTCATGGTAGCTACACCAGCACTGTGCTCATAGTAGACGTTTAGGTGACCTAAGCAGATTATTGACTACAGTTAACAATTCGGAATCTCCACTCCCATTCCATTTGCTCCCTCAGATTCCTAACGCATCTATGCCATATCTTTTCATTTCTTATGCAATCTGATTAGCAGTGTCAGCTTAACTGAGACGTGGTACGAAAACTCTATGTCCCTCTGCTTATTTTCGCTTTCATGGAAAGATTTCTCGGTGGATTGCTTTTCGAAGGCTTGCACTTGCCAGAGTCATCCTTCTTGGCATTGAAGACTTCGCGATTACAGCGGAAAGTAACATTTTATCTGCGTTTTGAAGTTTTAGCAGCGTTAATGTTATATTTTACCGGTTAGAGTTGCCAGCCGTCGAGATTAATGAAATCTCAACCTACTCACGTCGAATGATTGTCCATGATAACAGCTTAGTGAAACACCCTGATATGGTTGGACCCAAAATAACCACCTAATCAGAATTGCTGTTGCTGAATTTGTAAATATTCCTCAGTTGTTACTTTAAAACATTTATTTATAATTTACTCTGTTGGGTAATATTGACCAATTCAGAGCTGTAATCCATGACAAGAATTATTGTTTATATATGTAGAGAAAATAGATTTTGTTTTCAACTATTACTCATTTAGTTTAGATTCGCCACCAAACTTTTATAAGTATTTTCATTTTTTTTCAGCCTGATCTCAGCCTTTCTCTTCTTCAAGATAGCAGCTCTCAGCTTCCTGATGGTCTTTGTTTAACTGATGATGATGCAATTGATATAGCCTCTAATTGTGCTAATTCGACAGGCGTGTGTTTAGATATGTCGGCCAAAGAGAATATTGATGAATGCAGCTCTGATCTGTCTCATCACTTTCACAATCTTTCTATAATCGGTCCTTTGCGTGCAAATCAAATTTGGGCTGTTGGCGCAGAACGTCGGATAAGTACAACACTAGGAAGCGACGCAGCTGAAGGTAGTGGTAGTTCTGGACTACTATCTTGTTTTGGAGGATCACATTGCAGCGGTGGTTCTGGTAATTTTAGTGTTCTCAGTACCAATACCAATGGAGCAAACTACAGTAGTGGTGCCAGTGGAGATGCACATCCATTTGTTGGCAGCGGAGGTGCTGGGGAGATGACTCCATTACCTGGACAAATCGGACACATTGGTGCACCCTCCAATGGAAGTGCTGTTTCTGCAAGGTTAGAAAATAACCAGCATTCGCAAGAAGGTAATAACATTGCTCCATTTGACCTGTTGTCCATATGGGAGCCCCGTCAAAACAACTCACATCATGTTTGGCTACCTGACCCTTCACAAGATGCAGCGAACGCAGCTGTGGGTAACTGCTCTGCTACAGGAGATGACGCTACCGAAGAGCAAGAAAATCATAATCACTTGAACCTAGGGATTGACAATGGGACTGAAAATGAAGTTCTGCCATGGAATTGGGATGCAACCTGTGGCCTCGCGGTTAGTACTTTCCATTGTTTTATCACAGAATCTTGCTATAATTTACTGGTGGTGTTATTTCCTTTTTCAAGATTTCCATTATTAGATTAAGAAAGTCCCTAATTTAGTTCTGCTTAGTCGATCTAACTTTTTCTGTTTCTTTTTATTTCATTTACAAAATTAATTAGTGGATGGCTCTGAGGAAATGTCACCAGGTAAATAACCAGTGTAATCGTAGAACATTAGTAAGATAATTGCCGCACTTTCGGCTACAGTTATAATCACACTTTTGTTTGCCCAAAGGTTAACAGATTAAATAGGTCACATAGGTTGAATACAGATCAAAGTGTGTATGAGTGATGATCACATATCAACCCTTTTTTTGCTCCATTAATTTTCTGCCTAAACAACGGTATCTTTAACAAATTGAACATTTTTAATTCAGATTACCGTTAATACGGATGACTGATTAATTAGTAAAAATATTTTTTTTTCTTAACCTTTTTTTTAAACCATACAGTTACACCGTTTTGTAAAGGTCATGAAAATGATCAACCAATAATATGGGTCAACCAATAATATGCATTGATAATGAGACAGATGAAAACATATTACGTAACTTCTTACGTAATATCGCTAAGAAAGGATTATATAAATTTTAACAATTTATGAGTACTCATCACTTGGATAAATTGTATTCAACTTGCCACAGCATATAAGAATGTGGTCGTATGAATCATCCGATAATCTTAAAAACGCAAAAGTGATTGAAATTTTGTGGTTAACTGAATGTATTAGGCGTGTTTATAACATAATTTACTATCATTATTACTTTTATAATCAAAGATTTCATTTAGATATGGATTTTGTCGCCAGCTAACGTCGCTTATAAAATCACTAAACATCAAAGGACAGTGATCAGACACTTGTTTCGTCGTTGTATGAGACTCCACATCTGTGTGCTCCTGTTACCCCAACAGATTTAAACCATATCTTTTAAGTTGGTGGCTGAGGACATTCTCCATTCATTCGCGGGACTAGATGGAATCCAGTAGTTTTAAGAAGTTTTCAAGTATTGGTTTTGTGGGGAAATTGTTTGATTGGTTGGAGGATTTCATCATGAGCTAACATCAATTAAAGGATTATTGGAAAACCTGCACGGAGTGCTGGACGACGATTTCGTCCTAGTTTTGGACTCCTCATCAGTACGCACCCACCGCCGTGGTTCGAACCCAAGACCTTCTGGTTACCAGGCGAGCTCGTAGACCATTAAGCAGCCACTCACTGGCACCTGATCCAATGGCCAGTCAGCCAGTGCATGAATTCTAACTTCTGCCAATTCACGCACGACATAGCGCGACTACTTGGCAATGTCTTGTCCATGTCCACCTGAGCTACAAATCTTCTCTATAATATCTACATCAACATTTATCAAACAGTTTTTCACCCCACTTATACCACTGTTTTCCTTTTAGAATACAACTTCCTGGCGTGATTTATTTCCTGAATGCAAGGATTCGGAGTCAACTAATCTACCGTATAACACTCCAGAAACTGATGATATCAATCATTCTGGGGGACCAGATTTTGTTGCTCATACGCCTTCTTCAGGTCTGTGGTCATCATCTTTACATAATGTAACATCATCTATAACAAATTCAACTTCATCTCCTTTGAACACACAATCCGCTATGCTTTTCGGATCTGGAATGAATCTTACTCCAGTTTCAAATGAAATTGACCCGTTGCAAGCATCACATCAGCGAGTGCTTCAGGAACAGTCCGATTCTTTTGGTGTCACTTTGTCTAGGTCAAATGCGTCTTTGTTTCCACAGTCGAATTCTGCTTTGATAAATTCTCGTGCAGCTGCTTTTCGTGGTCCAGATATTAATGGCGTATCAGATGGTACTTTCCAAAGTTTGTTTCCTTCATCGAATTCAAGTACAGCTATGGCGAACGCATTACTTACTATTCCTCCTCTTTTCCTATATGGCCAGTCAGCTGAGTCTGAAAGTTCAGGAATTATGACGCACCCATCGAATCTTAGCGCTTTACCTACATCATCAACGGCTTTTCAAATTCCTATTTCGTTTATCGGTGGCCAGGCCTCTGCTTTTGGATCACCATTTCAAGTATGTTAAGTTGTATCGACTTCATTTCTAAGTTTGATATCTTTCTATTCAATTTTTTTCTTTGTCAGTTATATTTTCAAAAGCACTGTAAGTTTTTTTTCCTTTTAATGTGATAGTTCAAGAGATTATCTCTTACCCTTTTACCTTGTGCAGTGCTCCCTAGATTTTAAAGAACGTATTATCTTGCACAAAAATGCCACATTTCAGTTTGCCGCACTTTCGTTACAACGTAAGTAGATACCTAAAATTAAAAGTCAGGTTTGCTCCATCAATTAATCGGTAAGTGAAGACTGCTGGAGGAATTTTAAATCTCAGAACGAAACTTGATTGATTTTACAATAGGTAACCCTTATGTTAGCGAGAGAAATGACGACTAGCGTAGCGAAGCAGTTCGGACCGGTTTGCCGAAAGAAACGTTGGTATTACTCGTTTCAGTTTCGCTGAGATTTTAAAAATATAGTTTTTACAAATGATTGGTGTAGCTATTTAGAATTTCGAAGCATTTGAGCCTTTCTTGGCTACTAGTGTTGTTCTAGCAACCGGCCAATTAATTTAAACCTGTAGTTTTATCAGTAAATAAATAATGCTGTATCACTGTGAAATTGTTCTCTAACACAGTGCCCAGATACTTGCTGTATTAACTTAAACCTGCCTTTTGCTCGTCATCAGTAGTTATGGTCATCATGGATTTGTGTCATGCTTTGTTCTGACCCTTCTTTCCTCATTTATGACTTCTACTTTAGTTGAAATAGCTCTGAAGGTAGGGACTCAGCATCCCTCACACATCCTTACCACCTGAAGCAATAAAGCTTAGCAACCTTAGTGACTGATTTACCTTTGCCTGACACTTGATATCAACCCTTAACAAATAGTTTTTCCCTCAGAAATCATTGTCCTAGAGTCTTGAAGTATTTTTTTGTCACCTAGTACCCGACTTCAAGGTGAATAGAGCTTTCATATCCGTAAAATATCGCAACTAGGATTGTCAATGTAGGTTCAGATTTTACTAAGTGATCTAATTTCCTGGCCTAGTTATTTCGATGTTATCTCAAGTATGCCTACTTTGTAGTTCCCATAAACAGTCGATATGCTGCGAACAAACTTCTAATAACTTTTAACGACCATATGACAGTCATACGGTTGTATGAAACTGGTTGTTGCGTAATACGCCTGATCTTTAATAGTTTGGTAGTTCGACATCTTACTAGCCTGCATGGCCTATGCTCGCGGGAATAAACTAATAAATAATGCGAATTCCTTATATTGTACATTTCTTAGTTAATGACATCCACTCGTAGCATGGAAGTATGCATCAATTTTATGCTTCATTTCTCGTGGGTTAGTTAGTAGAGCACCGAACCGGGTCTTCTGGTTCGAATCCTGCCGTGGCCCAGATTTTCATTTCACCTTCAATCATAACCCATCGCCTCTTAAATAAAAGTTGGTAAAAACATACACACGTAGGTATTATTCAGTGTTTTATTGTAATTAACTGCTAATTAAGAATTTTAATTTCTTACTATTTTTATTCGACCCTTGGGTTCAGAGTGGAACAGGACTTCAGCATCGCATCTCCACTGTGTTTTCTTTTCAACCGTCTTCCTGAGGTTCTACGCCTACATACAAGCTTTCATTCCCTCTTCACACGATCTCCACCATGTTATTTTTGAATGCAATTCCTACTCGATGACCTGTCTTGCGTATCATTTCACTCAGTTATCTCCTCGGCTTATGTTCAGTCCATCTTCGTTTCCTTCATGTTTGTTGGATAATTAGTTGTTGGCCGGTTCTCTGTCACAGTAGTTCCTTGTTGCTTATCTTTCCAATCTATAAGATCGGGCAACAACAGCTGTTAGTTGATGAGAACCTATAGTAGTCTGTTTGTAATACTCTTATGAGACGCGCACCAGGTCTCTGAACCAAATAGAAGCATTGACTCGATATTTGTATTACAAATTCGAATCTTTTTCCTTGCGTTGAGGGCTGCAGACTTAAACATAGATTTCAGAGTAATGAATACTTATCTTTCTTTCTGCATCCTGTCATCCCTCGTTCTGGCATCCTCATCCGCGCAACCTGTAATCGAAACGATACTAGTGATGTAAGTGAAAGTGAGGCTAGCAACCCCACCCTGTAAACAAAGTTGCTACAGAAACTTCAGCACGATGAATCTCCTTGCGCCAAAAGAAAGATTGGTACGAGATTGGTAAAGCTGCCCAGATCGCAAACGAAATGAAAAGACACGGAATTCATGTGCTGTACATCGTTTGCGATGCAAATTCGCTCCAGAGTTTGTTTTCGATTACTGTTTAGAGAACGGGCTGATAGCGAGATCGAAAAGTTGCCAGTGCGGAGGTGTTATGCATATACAAAGATACACGAAATGCATCGACGGTTATGTTTACCGTTGCAGGGAGTGCAGATGCAGAAAATCCATTATCCAACGTTTAGTGCTACCGGGAACAACAATACATACGGATGAGTGGAGTAGTTACAGCCAATTATCAAATCTCGGCTATATTCATGAGGTTGTCAACCATACAACCGGATTTATAAATCCTTTCAATGGAACTCATACTAATTCCATTGAAAGTTTCTGGAGTCATCTCAAAAAACGGATAAGACCGGTGAACGGATCAAGAAATCCAATGATTTACAGTTATCTCGACGAGTTTATGTATAGGACTTGGTTTAGCATGACTTTAAAGACTCCTATGTCTAATTGGGACTTTTTTTGCAACATATACGAGAACGCTATCCTTTGTAACTATTTTTTAACATTGCTTTACTTGTATATTAACGATTTATTAAAATTATGCGCCGTTCATTTTAAGCCTTCTGATTGGTTAAGATTGTCCTTGTCAAGGTCATTTGTCCGTTCGCTCGTTTGGGTTCCTAAAGTTTAGAGTCACCGCCCAGTGTTTCCTTTGCTCCACTTCTTTGGTGAGTGACTTTCCATTGTCATCCTTCACCGGCCTAATTTCTGTCAAACTCTGGAGCGAATTTGCATCGCAAACGATGTACAGCATCCATTGCGAGTCAGATGATTGCCTGCTCAAGGTCATCCGTTATCAAGGTTGTTTTGGGTTCCTAAAGATTAGAGTCACCACTGGCGCGGAATTATGCTCCTGTCTATCCCAAGCAAAATACTAAGCCGCATCATCCTGGAGAGAATCGAACATGCCCTGGATGAAAAACTCCAACCGGAACAGGTTGAATTCAGGAGAAACAAGTCATGCATTGATCAGATCGCCACATTACGGATCATCATTGAACAAAGCTTGGAATGGCAGTCACCTCTATATCTCAACTTCATCGACTTTGAAAAGGCCTTTGACAGCGTCGATCGAGAGGTGATTTGGAAACTACTACGCTACTACGGGGTGCCACCGACAATTATACATCTCATCCAACAGCTGTACGACAATGCTGCATGCCAAGTAATCCACAACAGGAAACTTACGGAATCCTTCGAAGTGAGGACAGGAGTAAGACAAGCTGGCTGCCTACTATCGCCAATGATTTTCTTGATTGCAGTAGACTGGATAATGCGTCAGACAGCGGGTAATGAGGAAACAGGCATAAAATGTACCCACACAAAACTTGGAGGATCTGGACTTCGCCGATGATATATGTCTGATATCCCACGAACTGGAAGATATGCAAGTGAAAAGCAACAAGTTGGCAGAAGAAGCATCCAGAGAAGATAGGACTTCAGGTTAACATACAGAAAACAGAGGTGATAAAGATTCCTGGACAAGAACAACAACAGACAACGATCAGCATAAATGGGAGGAACCTGAAAGAAACAACCTCCTTTACCTACATGGGAAGCATCGTTTCAACTACAGGCGAACGGAACTGACGAGGATATCAAAGCAAGGATCGGAAAAGCAAGACAAGCTTTCACTACTCTCAAGTCTGTGCGGAGGACAACAGCACTCAGCATCAAAAATAACATCCGGATTTTCAACTCCAATGTGAAGTCAGTGCTACTATACGGATCAGAGACTTGGCCAGCGCGTCATAAAGAGCATCTCAAACAAACTACAGACCATCATTAACAGTTGTCTTCACTCAATACTCTAGATCAGATGGTCAGAGTTCATAAGCAACAGAGATCTCTGGGAGCGAGCCAACCCAGCAGGAACCGATTGTGAAACAAATAAGCAGGAAGAAATGGAGATGGATTGGCCATACTCTGAGGAAACCATCAAGTGAGTGACATCACTAGACAAGCCATTGCTCGAGTGGAATCCGAAAGGGAAGTGGCGAGTTGGTCGTCAGTGCAAGGGTGACTTGGAGGAGGTCATGTGAAGAGGAGATGAAAGCGTGTGGGCAGACTTGAAGCCAGGTGAAGACTCTAGCAGAGAACCCAACGCAATGGAGATGTGCGGCTGAAGCCCTATGTTCCTCGAGGACTTAAAGGAAACAATAATAATAATATAATAATAGCGTCATCATGAAGCTGTTAATTAAGAATTATCAATGTCTTCGGCTCAGCGCTCTGTTGAAGCGTTTGGGAAATTACATCGCAGTCGACTCTTTCGAAGGCTCTTCCAAAGAAAGAATAGTTGAGGTAAAAATTTGACTATTGTCGCAATTTGTGCTCGATAATGATAATATGATCTGCGCCTAACTTTTGCCATCCGGTATTTTGCTTCCTTAGCAACCTTATCAATATTATTATTCCTTTGGGTTCTGATTGGAACATGCGGCTTCAGTGACATATCTCCGTTTCACTCTGTTCTCATATCATGCTCGCACAATCTCCATGTCACTCTCGGAACCACGCTGAATTAGTCGTTTCCTATTCGGTTCCCACTTGGCAACTCGACGGTCTCCTCATCTACATTTCATCTAGTATATATGTTGTTGTATTTTGATTATTTCGTCGCCAGAGTTACTTGGTGCTTATCTTTTCCAGCTGACCGTCTGATCTTCAGTACTGATCAATTGCATCTGTTGGTGAAAGTCTGTAGTAGCCTGTGAACCATATAGAAGCACTGATTTGACACTAGTATTGAAGGTCCTCATCCTGTCCCTCGTAAGTGATGGGGCTTAACATTTTGCTTGAGTTGAACGGGAGCATGACTCCGCGTCAGCCCTAGCTCGCCTGTCAATGGGCGGGTGCCTTTCGTTTCATTAATAAAGGTAAATGAAATTTTGACGATTCTTCTAGGAAAATAATTATATAATACATGTACAGTTATTTTTATGTATATCGGTCTTTTATTTAAAAAAATTATTTAGATGAATGAAGCCCAGCTTGTGAATGAAAGTTATCCTAAGCATCCGGGTATTTTGCCACCTCCTGGTTTGTGCGCTAACACACCATCATCAAGCAATTGTACTACGCCAACACTCTCTTCAATCCCAATGGTCTCAGCAACATCTTCGGTCTCTCAGTTACCATCAGGAAGTTTTGACGGGAATTCGCTTTGTGAATCTAGTGTTGTAAATAATACATTTCCACCTACTTATAATATGTCTACGCCTCAAACAAGCATAATAGATCCACAATCAATGGCTTTGGCAATGTCGATGTTTATGTCACAAGGTGCAACTAATAGCAATCAAATTCCTCCAACATTTTCACAAGGTTCGATATTATTTTTTTTTAATACTCTTGTCATTATTAATAATGGTATTCGGTCTTATGCATGAATTTGTAGTTTTTGTGTTAAGAAATTTTCGAATATCAAACTGTTCTCTACAAGAAAGTAACCTAAAGGTATTCATCCCTTTGTTAATTAACGTCGAATTGTTCTAAAGTAATCATCACGTTCACCCCAGAATTCTGTAAATCTTTTTTATTGATACCAATTTCAGCATGGTCATGGATTGATTCGTTTCACCTAAACGAGTGACTTTCAATCACTAAGTCCTAGATCCCAATCCTGTCTCATGTGTGCTGTCTCGGTTAATCAAGTAGCATTCAGTGTGTCTAATATATGCAATATGTGTAGCAGGTAACAAAGTTTTTTCTTCAGTTCTGCGGTAGATCAGTAGATAGTGTGTCGCTGACTTCAAACAAATGTTAGGAGAAACATCTGAAAACCTATAAACTGCAGTAGCAAGTTGTTTAAATTGGGAAGAAGTAAGGTTATAAATGTAGCCGATCAGTGGCAGGCTATGCGTAACGGGTTCAAATCTCACTTCATGCACCAAGGTTTGGGTAGTATAGCTATGAGTGTAGTTCATTGCCAACTTAAAAGGCAAATGATAAGTGAAACAATCTCTGAGAAAAATGGCACCATATTTAGCTCCCAGGATAGACGACTGGGACGCTGGAAAGAACACTGAGAAGCAGTTTAATTGACTTACAGCCACACTCAAATTACCGAACATCCAACACTTCCCTGAATGGAGTATAGACACAGGTCCTCCGTCCCTAGCTGGGGATACAACAGCTGTCACTAGTCTGAAACGACGCAAAGCAGCAGGACCCGATGGAATGACTCCAGAGGTGTTTAAGGATGACGGAGACAGTTTACTGTCTGTGTTAACAAAGGTATCAGGCAACGTCTGGGAATCGGAGGAAGTCACGTTGGGTCGGTGAGAGTCATTGATTATCCCGATTTATAATAAGAGAGACAAGTCTTCTTGTGATAATCACAGGGAGATTAGCTTGACTAATATGATATCTATAGTTGTAGGCTCAATAATTATACGTAGACTAAGCGGTCCACGGGAGGAACAAACACTAGAGAACCAGACAGGCTTTAAACCAGGAGGAGGGTGTATTGATCTTATCTTCACCCTTCGACAGATTCTGTAACATTGGCACACCTATCGGCGTCCAACAATCGTCACATTACTTGACGTGAAAGTGGCATTCGACTCCATCGACCGAGAGGTACTCTGGTGATGTTTGGCTGTGGAGGGAATACCGAGAAAATACGTTGCACTGATCAATGCACTCTACTCGAACTCATGCAGCCAGGTAAGAGCTTACGGCGAGTTGTTATCTGAAAGGGTGACAACCAACGGTGTCCTTCAGGGATGTACACTGTCCCCATTTCTGTTTAATTTCATCAAAGATGCAGTAATGGAATTAACGCTAAGTGACTTCAGTGACTCAGGGATTGACTTGTTACCAGGGAATAATCTCGTTGACTTAGAATATGCAGATGGTATAGTCCTTCTAGGCGAAGACGCTGACAAAATACAGTCTTCTGGACACCTTAAGCTGCATTCAGTGGTTCGCTCCCGCCAAATGTAAGATGATGCTACTGGACTAGTCTGGACTGCATCGACTCCTAGCTCAGAAGTAGGGAGTGAATTGGTAGAGCGTGTTGACCGCTACACTTTTTTGGGAAGTTGCATCAGCCAGCGCCATCGGGTTGATCGCTGACGAAATCTCAGTATGGTGGATACAGAAGGCTAGTTTCGCATATGCCAGTTTACGCCGTCTCTGGCGTAGATGTGAAGTTCAGCTGACTGCCGACCAAAGGGTGTGTGTACTGCTCAGCAGTCTGCTCCGTCCTCCTTCATGGTTATGAGACCTGATCACTGAGAGTGGAAGACATGAAAAGGTTAGCTATCTTTGGTCATAGTTGCCTGCGTTCTATCTCCCGAGTTAAATGCTATAATAAGGTTAGGCGTCAAGTGTTAGGTAAGTAGGGAAAACCAACTGACGAGGCTATGAAGTTACACCGATTGAGATGGTTAGGGTATGTGTTACGTATGCCTGCCTAGCCATCGCCTTTCTCGAGAGGCAATGTTAGCTGACATATGGTTCAGGTTGGAAGAAAGCCGGTAGTAGTCAAACCAAAACTGTATTGTTCTTCGATATTACTGTCCTTTTTGCCTCATATCTCTGTTTACTGTCTCTATTTTGGATTTCTTTTTACTTTCTTCTCTTGCTTTGTGTACTAAATGGAGTGTGGCGACTCAAACTGGTGCACATCGGTGCAAAGTTCTGTGTTGAAACCAGTCTGTCAGTCATTGCCAACTGCTTGGAATTGCAAGTGGTTGTTGAGTGACATTGAATTATAAACTGAAAATTAAGAGCAGTAAAGATACAGCCGTGCAATATATGTTAGTGTAGATACCACTGATGGAGTCCATTTTTTCCCGTAGTATTCCTCTACATATTTCAGGCAAATACTAAAAGTTATTTAATTGCTTTTAATAATCTGTGCAACTTAAGGTTGCGTGCAAGATAACCTCTTTACAGCTAACACAGCACTACCAGTAGATATTGTGCATAACAAATTGGCAATATTGTTAAACACTAGAATTATCTCTAATTTTTCATTGCAGCACCTCAGTGGAACCACGTCGCATTCATGATCATGCAGCAGCTAGCAAATGGTGTGGCAAATAATTCAGGTTGTGTTGGGACGACGACACCTAATGCAGTTGTTGATAGTATAGCACCTGCTAATGGCAGTAATATTATAGACCAATCTCGCCTTGCTGCAGGTGCTTTCGCTTTCTTCCAAGCCCAACAACTCATGAATGCTGCACAACAACAACAACGTCATTCCGCTGTCATCAACAATAGTGTTACGTCGAATAATACTTCCAACTGTTCTGGTGCTGTTGTTGCTGCTACAATTGCTTCATCAACATCTCTAGTCGCTCCGTTTACTGCTAGTGTCACAAATTCGTCCAATTATTTTGGTGGTTTATATTCATCTGGTTCAGTTGTTGCTGGGTTAGCTCCTGGTAGTTTCTCAGTACCTAATGTAAGCAATCTTCCAATGTTATATTCTTTTATTAATGTTTACTGATTTCTCTGTTATTTAGAAATATCAATTTTTCCCGTGCTAATTTGTATGAATCAGTATTTAAACTTATACAATTATGTATTTCCTCTAATGTTATAACACTTTCCAGGGTATAAATTTGCTGCCACCAGTTACTCTATTACATCCTGAAGCGAGTGGAAGTCAAAATTCAATTGCCGTAGATGTAACTAGTTACAATCGTATGCCAGTTTCTCAACCTCCAGGATGTCTCGCTGTTACTATGCATATTTCACCGACAGCACCATCAGGATTACAAAGACCACCATTATCTGTATCAGCTGGATTTTCATCGCCTGCTCCATATCCATTCAGTTTCGATGGCAAGTTCAAGCATTATTTTGATTAGATGGGGTTTCATTTTCAACCAGTGATAAAAACTCTTGAAAGTATATATATATATATATATATATATATATATACAACTGTCATTCGCTCATCAGTCACATCTTAAATATTATTACGAGCAGAAGGTTTAGACACTGTGTCGTCAACAGGTATTAATAAAAGAATAATTTTAGAGTGATTATCATAGCAAAGCTTCATTTATGTACACTGAAGAGTTTCAACTAACTGGAGGATGATGACAAGAAGGGCTTCGTGTGCTTTTAGAGGTGTGTGGGCGGTTGTTACTTTCCAGCTGCCCACATCGTGGAGGTTGATTGATTGAGGTACCTGAAACAGAAAGAGAGTTATTGCTGCGTGACCGCAGAGCGCAGGGGACTACTTGAGGCTGATCACACACGGCCTGTCTGAACTGGCTTCTTGGATTGGTTCCGTATTAGTAACTTACCGCTCGTTACGGACAACCTTAGGGTAAGTCGTGACGTACAATTGTTGGGGTCGAACTTTTCTAACCCCCTCTCTCCAAATTGGAGAGATGGCATAGACGGCATGCTAGTCATCTGAGGGAAACACCGTACTTTTGTTACTTCCCTCTTCCCCAGCAGTATGACTTTTTCCACAGACCGCCAACATAGTGCAAAAGAAAATCTCTCACTATGCCGGTAACTACTTTTATTCTAATCGCCATCCTAAAAACTATTCTGGCAGAGTGGGACCTGCAGAAAGATTAGTTCCAGCCAGTGTAGCTTGTTGGGTCATTGCGATATGCAAGCCCCACCACTACGTCAAGGTACGGCTATTGGTCGGGAAAGAGTCTCAAACATGATACTCAGTAAAATATAAGTGGCTTTATTTGCTCTTAAGAAGTACATTTTCATTTATTTAGTTTGTTAGCAAAGTTTTAATTGTCAGTCTTTTATCACCGAGGCAAATGGTCATTCTCGACTGATTTAAATAGCGAGTTGTCGAGTATTGTTTCCTTAGTATACATTTACTCAGTACCGTTAAATTTTATGCAGCAGGTGTGGCTCAGCGTCTACTCTGATGGTGCTTGGTGAGTCGTATTAGCGTGGCTCAAAATCAAGTTTCTAACAGTAGATACGTACCTTCTCTCAAATCTTAAATTTGTCTCGGTGTACTTTTACACTACTTAATTCTTAGTTTTACCTATTCATTTTACAGCGTCGATGCATAAGAATCGTGCTTTTGCTGCCGCCTTTGCTGCTGCGTCAGGTGTAGCCGTTACTGCTACACCACCGCCTGGTATGGGTCCTAATCATAATCTTCGGCCTAATGGAGTGAACCACCCGGCTCTTTTAGGAAATAGAGCTCCAGTTCCGCCGCCTCTCATGCCTGTGGTTACTGGTCGTAGTCCTGGTTTACTGTCCGCCGTTCATCCTCAAACTGTTCAACAAGCTCCAAATTATGCCGCCGCTCTGCAGTCACATCAAAACATCAACCAACGACTTCCGGCTCCATTACTTTCACCACTTCCTTTGACTCTATCTGGTACTGCTTCTTCCAGACCTAGTTCAGTTGTTGGTATGTTAGACTGAAATTGTATATTCTAAAAAATTTTGTTAATGTCACCTATTTTGGTTGTTTTGGATGCCATGCAATTTTAAGAAAAAAATGTATTTTCACCAATAATTCAAAATTTCTCCGCCTTCTCTAATATATAACCTTTAAAACTATTATGACTTCCAGGTGTAAACATAACGACGTCTACTCCACTGGTCGCCACAACCGTCTCTAGTCGTAGTCAACTTCTGGAAGATTTTCGTAATTCTAGTGCACGCTTTCAGCATATGCATTTGTCTGAGTTGCGTGATCATATGGTTGAATTCGCTCGCGACCAACATGGATCTCGTTTTATACAACAGAAGCTAGAGACAGCTACTACAGCAGAAAAAAATTCAGTTTTCAATGAAATATTACCACATTCAGGCAAATTAATGACTGATGTGTTCGGTAATTATGTGATTCAAAAGTTTTTCGAGTTTGGAACGAAGGAACAGAAAGAGGTAATTTCTTGACGTTATCGTTTTAATTTATTTTCAAGACTAATACTCTTTCAAGCATGAAATTTGATGACTTTATCATAACTCGTCGTTACTTCAAATATTGTTGAAGCGTTGCTCTGTTTCACTTATCTTCCACTTTTGTATAGTGTTGGAAAATTAGTCACTGTTAGAGACGGACTAAATCGGAAGACGTTTAAATAGAACTAATTATACACTTGTCAAAGGTCGCTGAACTAATAATTTCCTTATATATAATATTATTACTAAAAGTGGAATTTGAGAGTGCAAAGAATATCAACAAAACAGGATGCTCGAGCGGAAATGCAACCGTGAAAGATTACTATATTTTACTGTACTGTCTAAAGTTGTCACTAAACCTTAACTATAGTAACTTCCCATGTTTTAAACCTATATTTAAAAAAAACAACACATGTCACTTATCTTCCGTGTTGTTTTTTCTACTATAGTAGTGTCCGACATGAATAAAATAGCAAGTCGACCAAGCTGTCGAGCACAGAGGAGCTCGTTTGGCACCTACCAACTTACATCATTCCTGGAGTAGATGTGATATCCGACTATCGATTAAAGAATGTGTATACTACTCAGCAGTTCTTTCTGTCTCCCTTAATGACTGTGAGACATGGCCATTGGAAATGGAAGATATGAAAAGACTAGTTATCTCATCCAGTGATTGGATTATACTAGTGATACTAGTGGCTCAAAATGGTTGTCAATGGCACAGATGCATTCACTTTTGTGATCTCCCATATCCACTAAACCCTCATGTTTCTGCGTACTACTATTTTGTCTCCTGGGAATTTCTGTTTGTTATAGTTTTTTTTTTGAATTTGTTTTTTGAATCTTTTGTCGACGTTTGTGTGATATATTGAGTGTGGCAGCTGTTACTGATACACTTGTTGATACTCAGTGAGCCAGTCGGTCATTGGAGCACTTTTAACTCAATGTTTATTATGTGAAACTTCTCAGTGTATGTTTAGCTCATCAGGCTATATATTTACCATGCAGCTACTACATTGATTATTGTCTCTCCAGTTGGTAGTTGGCTCCTTCCACATCCGTTCCATCTGCTCTCGCAGATTCCCAACACTTCTAGTTTATATCTCCTCATTTCTGCGGCTACCTGAGCAGCCTTTCCAGTTTTGTACATTGTACGAATATTCCACGTCCCCATCCTTATTTTTGCTTTCATCGAAAGAAGGCACATCGGTTGACTGGCTTCCCGAAGTCTTTCACCAGCCTGCGTCATTTCACTTCCCCGATTCCAGCGAAAAATAAGGTTATTGTTTGAATTTTTAGAATTTTTAATTTGTGCGTTGAAGTTTTTTGTAGCAGTTTGGTTAGGTTTTGGGGGTGGAGTTGCTAGCACCACGCCTCAACCCTCCCTCTTTATCCGGCCTTGGGACCGGCTAGAAAACTAGTGAGCTAGTAATCTAGGCGAGGTTGGTTTAAAATATTCAGCACACTGTTTAATTCATTATAAATCTTTTCCGTGCTCATATTCTCATTCTCAATAGACAGTTTCATATTTCACTTTAGCATCTATCTCAACGTCTACAAGGTCATGTAGTTGAATTCGCTACACAAATGTACGGCTGTCGTGTTATACAAAAAGCACTGGAATCTGTACCAGCTGAGGCAAAAATACATATTGTTAGTGAATTAAGACCATATGTGACTAGATGTGTAAAAGATCAAAATGGAAATCATGTGATCCAAAAGTGTATTGAATGCGTTCCACCTGCAGAGCTTGATTTCATTATCTCAGCTTTTCGTGGTCAGGTATGTTTTTCTATTACCTAACTCTGTATGTTTCCCATATATATATATATATATATATATATATATATATATATATATCACAGACATTCTCAGTATGTTTACTTGTTTGGTTAATCGTTTTCCCTCAACCAAATATTTTTTCTGAGCATTCACTATATCTATGTAACAAATAATTTCTCAATATGGTTATCACTCACTGATGTAGGTGCTCGACTTCTAATTAGTGAACCACGAATTTTGAACCTTACTATACCCACCGACTTCTCTATATCAAATTAGCTCTCACTCAATATGTGTAGCTCATTGCAGACTGCATTAGTGCAAGTGGTCGTTGAATAGCATCTTTTTGCAGTGTGGATTATTTTTTTGGCCACTGTATCACTCTGTTATATCTGAGAGAATCAATAATGTGAGCTGCAGCTTAATACTTGACAGATGTATTGCATTTGTCTCACAGTGAAAGCGAATTATTATAACCTTGTTGGTAAATTCACTGTGTACTATCTATTAAGTAATTAATTTTTTTGTGAGGTGTTTAAAAATGGTATGACAAATCTATACTGTGCATAGTGTTCACATATCAGCTAAACATACTCTCCATCATAATACTCACATTTGAAGTGATGATCATTTGCTGACTACTTCCGTCTACCTCTTCTACTGTATATGGAAGAAAAAAACTTCTAGAGGCGGTGTCATAGTTACTAACTTCCAGGTATTCCGAATAATTTATTTTTGTGTACATTGGAAAGAATGCTGATGAAGTTGCAACTTTACTAGCTTCTGGCGTCGAATATCATCGTTCTTTTTGTAATCTGTGGAGAGACAAGACTGATTTGGTGCTTAGGAATATCATTCCTGATAAGAACTTGTTACCGGTCTGTATGATAAAGTAGTGATATCCAGACACTGAAAGCATTTACTCGAAATTTGTATGTTGTCTTGAGAGGTATTTCGATAAGAAAATTTTCGCTTAGAAATAGCTGCAAGTTGATGTAAAACGTGTATTCCTTACAAGATTTCAAATTAAATAATTTCGAAATCATGTTTCTTAAGATGTACCGGAAATTTTTTTTGCAGTTAGGCTATCTGAGATCTCCATTTAATTAGTGTCAGTTGGCAATGGAATTGAAGACGCGCGTTTCACCCTATTTGGGACTTGTGATCCGGATATACCTATTTAGGAGAATGGGTTATGGTATCCCTGCTGAGACCTGAACGAAACACACATCATTTGAAATATCCGAACGTCATGCACTAAACTGACCAGTCATGTGAAAGCCATCTCCTGTTATTTTGAATATCACTGGAGTAAAGTGCTCGGTCGCTAATGGCGTATAACTTCGCTCTACTCGTGTTTCGGTGATGCCATTCGAATAACATTAAATGAACCTCTACGCATATGTCTAGGGTAGACTTTAATTTTTAGACTGATATTTTCTATTAGATAATGATTGAAGGTGAAATGAGAATCTGAGTTGAGGCAGGATTCTAATTCCATAGTTATGTAATATTCTTCAAGCTGAGATTGTTTTTTTTTGTGGCACGACTAAATGCATTGACTGTTTACTTAGCACATCCTTGAATACATATATTTTGTATTATAGTATTAAAGTTGATATTTATCACATGTATATATCATCTTTAGGTTGTTTTGCTTTCATCACATCCTTATGGTTGTCGAGTGATCCAGCGTATTTTAGAGCATTGTTTGCCAGAACAAACGCGTCCTATCTTAGATGAGTTGCATAAAGGAGTAGAGAATTTGGTTAAAGATCAATATGGAAATTATGTTATTCAAGTAAGACTTAATTATATTTTTGTAATATTTATTATTCAATGATTACTCAGTAGACGCTATTTTAACTACTGTAATGTCATACAGACAGAGTCATTCCATCATTGCAAAGATAATGTTTTATGTTATACCTTCTCTAGGCCATTTTCCATGTGTCTGTCTGATAAGTCTATTTCAATTGTGAATGCGATAAACGTTTTTCTTTGTTTGTTCTTAAAAGTTGAAAAGCATTTATAAAATGAAACTACCTCCGATAGCCTAATCTCTGAAACTACCTCCCATTTTATGGAAATGTATACATACCAGGTCTGTCTTCCTGTTTTCATCCTGATGAAGAAGTAGATAAATTTGCAGTAAATGTGAATACAGTACTGACTCAGTTACTATTCTCAAATAAAAACCACCTTGAAGTAAATTTCCGATTACTCACAAGCTGTTCTCTTAATCTTCATTTACTGTTCTTAATTGTGAATAACTTGTATACTCTTAAGCGTCAATGCAACACTATTTGCCTTTTCTTCTCTCTCTCTCTCTCTGTCTTTGTGCAGTTGTTATCTAGTTTGTTTATATCATAAATGAGGGTCAGATTTTATTTGTGTAATCAATGGTTGTTTATTTTTTTAAAACAAATTCACAAAAACATGCTGCACAAGCCTCATAGAGTTCGGCATAATTCATCTGTTAGGCTGTGTTTACTTTGTACATCTGTCTACTATTGCTGTTATTGTGCTTAGTGCTTGAGTGGATATTCATGTTCTGTTCTATGCTTCACTTAACAAGCAAGTCTTTCTACACTGCTTTATGATCACTTAGTGATTCTGAACAATGATCACACTTCCAAGAGCGTATTAGTTAATGCATGAAGGCTTTTTACAGTGTTGCTGACCGGCGGTGATTGTGGACAAACCAACTTACCAGTTGATGATGATGTTGTTATATTATTCTTGTTATGGGTGTTGGTCTTACTTGTTACTGGTGCATACATTTAAAAACAACATGGTGTGTGTGTGTATGTGTATTTTAATATATTAGAAAAAAGAAACATACATCACCTTAGTGTAAATATTAATATATTGGGATTTGATTACACCTCTTTCATCATCATCATCATCATCGCCATCGTCATGTAAATGTAACATTACACTTAGTTTATTTTTAGTTCCACTGAGAATAACATAGTTCGCGTATATAAAAGTAATTAATAATCAGTTGTGTGGTTATCTTCTTCTTTTTTTTCTACTAGTCTTTGTTTTAAATCAATACTGATTGCAGGATTATTTTTTTACTTAGAAGGAAAGAAATGAAAACCTAAAGAGCTGCTGTTTCATCCTAATTTCATATATATATGTGTTTCATCATTGCTAAGTCACGGAATATGCTTTTAAGTTTTGGTTTAGTTTAAGTAAACAAAAAAATCACGCCAAAAAAAAAACAATCAATGCAATAAAAGTTTATCTTTTATTTTTTGAAAACAGAAATAATAATTTCTTACGAGAAAAGCTAATGTTTTTACCTGTTTAATTGTGGTAGCATGTATTGGAGCATGGTTCAAATGAAGATAAATCACGCATTATACAAAGTTTACGTGGTCGTGTATGCGCATTAAGCTCGCATAAATTTGCATCAAATGTTATGGAAAAGGCTATCGCCAATGCTGCAGCTTCTGAAAGAGCTTTATTAATCGAAGAAATTCTACATCCAGTGTCCTCCAATGTTGGCGTCAATGGCGGTGATGCTTCACTAACAAATAATAATGTGTCATCATCTCTGGTAGATATGATGAAAGATCAATACGCAAATTATGTAGTCCAACGTATGCTAGAATTGGCTGATGCTGAACAACGTCGTGTACTTATCAATAGAATACGTCCAATGCAGAATACTTTACGTAAATACAATTATGGTAAGCATATAATAGCAAAATTAGAGAAATACAATAACACTAGCGGAAATAACTCTGTCAAAAGTTCGCCTACATCTCCACCAACTAATTCTTCAACCAATCACAATTTGAAGATTAACAATAATAGTAGTAGTAATGGTACAGGCACTACGGCAGTTACTAACAAGTCAGCATCGAATGCAGAAAGTAATCCTGTCACAAGTCAACAAAATGAGTCTACTGCTACTACTAATATACTACTACTACTACTTCTGCTACCACTGCTACTACTACTAATGCTAATACTAATAATAGTAACACCACCTCCAATAACAACAATAGCAGTACTGCGAATTCAAATCATAAACCAAGTGAAAAATCCAACCATCGTACATAATTCACAATGTATGCATTACATCTATCAGTTGTAGTACGAATGTGAACTGAACTTGAACAGTGTTTCTTCGTTGCTTTTTCTTTTTGTGTTGACGTATATTATATTGCATAGACATACGACGCATTAGTTAGTGTAGTTTCGCTCCTTCTATTTGTGATTGCTAGTTTTCATTGTTGTTTTTCTTTTGTCTTTTTTGTTTTGCTTTCCACATCAATCAGTTATTTAACCCTTTTTATTATGGATACCAGTTTCTGTAAAAAGGTTAACCCAATAGGGTCGTTTTATGTATTTATATGTTTTCCTGTGTGCTTTCTCTCTCTCTCTCTCTGTTTATCGTTCACACTCACAATGTTATCAATTCTACTGTGAACTAGCTGCATAGTTTGTTTGTTTTCTTTTTCTTAATGTAAATGTCTTTCGGCTCAGACTCATTCGGTATGTATCATATGCAACATTGTGATATGAATAGATCTCTATTCGTATACTGGCTTGGGCTGTGCTTCGCTGGCGATATATATATATATATATCATTTGTACCTATACATGTACTGTTACATAACTAGTCCTTATGATCTCTTCCCATTCAATATTTATGTGATTTATTACTGTTTGTTCTTTAGTCTGTTCATCCTGACGCAAATATGTACAGTATTCAATCGTATGCAGTTGTAAGTAAATAACGCACATTGATTATTCCTTCGTACGCTTTTCTGTTTTGCCCTTCACAGTGTATGTGTACCCGAATGTGGGAAATATGTTATATATATGTATACATATAAATTGTTTTGTTCATTTTCTTTTCCCTGTTCAGCATTTTAATCTGATCTGTTGGTGTTATATCACATTACTTAAAGAATTATAGTAGTACTAGCGACAACAATTATCAATACGCTTTACCAATTATTATTAATTCTTACAAATCAAACTGTATACATCTTGTCATCTATTGTTTATATGCTTGTGTTATTCTGTTCAAAATTCAGCTTGACATTTATTCACACATGCCAAAGTACACAGTATATAGTGTGTTTATTTTGCTGTCTTGTAAAAAAGTTAATCTGATTACAAACTTTGTCCTGCATATATGTATACATTGTTACCCTATATTGATCTACAGACTGTACCTGGGTTCGTTACACTGAGTATATATATACCAAGGTCTATTTGTTGTGTATACATTCTAATTCTTTGGCTGTTATGTTGTATGTATATTGTGCTTGCATCTCTTGTTTCACTATTATTACTGTCAGTCTTAATTTTGTCATTAGTACACACACCTGCCCTGATCCCTTGTATTATTAAAAAGTTTGGCGTTTTCTGTAACATCATTCTATCCTACTATTACATTTCTATTCTTATACCTATTTCTATCTTGCTTGCTTATGTTATGGTTGATTTGTATTAAAAAAAATCTCCTTTTGATTTTCTTAGTTTGTGTTAAGTTGATGTGATGTGATGTGATTGTTCTCTTGTCGTTCAGGCAGGTATTCATCGTCTTCTGTCTCTCTCTCTCTATATATATGTACTTATGTGTATCTATACCCATTCACTATTATTATACATTCAATCTTTAACACAATAGTTATAGACTTCAATTCTGTTAGCGTTTCCAGGTTTACATTCATTGTTATTATTACAGTCGTCTCCTATTTTGTCAGTTCCCACAGTTTTCATTGGCTAATTCTACTACTATTTATTAAATAGTCTTTGTCTCATCTTCTCTGTTGTTGTCTTTTTGTTCTCTCCCAATTACTCCGTATTATTCGATTTTGAACAATAATCACTATTCTTCTCCTATGTTGAGTGATGTCATCAAAAGACATATATATGAATGAATCTAAATTTGGGAAGTCTTACCTACTGTCTGTTAGTCCCATGTGGTCTGTATCTTATCACATGGGACTTGTAAATTATCTCGTGTACTCATATAATTAATACTACATTGTTAAATATATAAATCAGTTCGTTTTCGTGACTTCTTTACGTCATCTTTTCACTTAGCAATCACTAGTCCCACCGTGAGTTGAGTAGCTGCGTATTATTCATTCAGTGCTTTCGGAGGGGATCAAAGGACTTCAGTGGAGAGTACACTTAGTTCACTGTCATCACTTTCCACGACTGCACTTAAGCTTTCGTTTCCTCTTCAAATGACATTCTCTATGCTACTGTCGTACGCCCAACTCTTTAACTTATATCCATCCAATCAACTTTCATTCCTTTCTGTTAATTTTATGGGCAGTAGATTGTTTAGTTGGCTGCCACAATCGTCTTAGTTCTATGGAAGCAAAATTAAGCATGGGGAAACGGAATGCTCACAACATTTTTTAAGGTGACAAGGGGAGCTTGCTATAACACAGTTCTTATTATTGTCATTATTATTTGTTACTTGTACCTACTGGTTCACTAGTTGAATTACCTTCACCCTTTTTACATATTCAGTGTCATTTATTGTTGTCGGTTTCCTGGCAATACCTAGACCGTAGAGTATGACAGGAATTTATTCCTTTACTTGGGCGAATAGTTTTTGCTGAGATACCACTGACTTCTGTGTATTTTTATCCCTTAAGTGCTTTCGGTTGAAATAATTTGGTTCAGGTCATCCCGTTTATTATATGCATAATGGTATCATTTAAATTATATGTGGACTAGCAATTGGCTTTTAAGGAAATAGATATGAATGTTGATAGTCTATGTAAAACGCTTACGAATTCGGAGAAAATCGTATCATGTTCCTGGTGTCTGGAGTCAGTATGCCTTACTGTGGTGCGTAGATGAGATGATAATATTAACATTTACTCTAATAGTAGAAATATAGTCCAACTCATCTGACAAAGCAGTGACATATATCCTAGTGTTATTTAGATGGATAGTATAAATACGTAATATCTACAGTGAATCCTGAAACACCTAGTCAGTTAGTTCAGCCTTTCTATCTTATAAGTAATCTCGATACTGACAGTATAAGCACTTCATTTTTGTCTTCACCCATATGAGCGATTTCTAGACAAAAGCTGTTAAAGTAAGGATAAAACTTCGGCAGTGTGGTAGATTATTTTGTTATGATTATGAGCAATAAATTGGGCTCAAGACGTCATCAGTAAATATCACTGTGTGACACTTTATCAAAATAAATTTTTTTATGCATAATTGAAGGTAGAACTGGAGATAAGCACTTTGGCGTGTTTAAGATGTATCGTCTAGTGTTTCGACTGGGACTTAAACTGGATACTCAATTCTCTGAGAAGTATACCGAATATGTTGCAAGCTGTTCACTGAATACATCAAATTAAAGACAAATCATCATCCCAATATATATATATATATATATATATATATATATTGTTACATGGGAATAGTAAGCTCTGCAGATGGGTGTCTGAACTCCACTGTCCCTCCTCTACAATGCTGTCGGTCTGTTGCTTGTGGTTACTTCATGGAATCACTATCGAGAACTAGAGTTTTTTGAGAGAGAGTGTGTGTGTGTGGAAGTCATCTTCTTGCCGTATGTACCATGAAGTGATGCATACTGAGAACAAACCTAATAGAAAATCAGCAAGAGAGGTTCATTAAAAAGCAAACCATTGTTTTATCCAAATTTAGGACATCCTATAGGAGATAATCATATATACTTGAGAACTCCATTAGTGTCTTATCATGGATATTTATTACAGTGCGCCAATGACTTGAGTATAAACAGCTTTTAACTGAGTGATTTATTCACTCACTGGGTAATCTAATCTAATCTAGCCAGTCGTTCATCCGTCTTCAGTAACCTTTACTCGTCTGTACTTGTAAATGTGTTTCACTGTATACTTGGTTTCATGTAAAAGTGAATGGATCGATGCATAGTGATGTATTTTAAATAAAATAGGTTTTTTTTCGGTTGTGTCTTTTAACTGATTAATGTATGAATACCGACTCAACACAGTTTATTGATTATTTGTAAGGTGTTTCAATGACACTTGATCGTAAAAAAAAGTAAACTATGAATTCAATTGAATCGATATTAATAATTATAATAGACAACTGTATTAATAATAAGCAAATCTACTAATTGTTTAGTTTATAGATTAAAATCTTTTTTATAAATATTTGTTGATTTCATGTCTCACATATTGATTCAAGCCACATATTGACCAAGTTTACTCTATAATCTTCCAGAGATACATTTTGCTAACAGGTTTCAGCAGATGTTGTCACTAGTCGACAGCATACTGTTGAAGAATCCCAAACTAGGACTAGACATCTTTGTTTGGTACTTGATAATTCTGTAACTGATGTCACTTCATGAAGAAAAAATCCATCTTGAAATCAATCAAATCTCGATTTTCTTCTCTCAACACTTGAAAATGAAAGTAATTAACACATATGCGTGACAATAAAGGAATGTAGAAAAGGAGATTAGTATAATCAGAAGTCGATAAATTTTACACCACTTCAATCATGTGTCTTACTGATAAAGTGTAAATTAAGTCATATGTCTGTCGCACACACTACCACTTAATATGCTACGTAACTTTGTCACTGACTAACTTAGGAAACCAGACATGTTGAACTTTCATCTCCTCCTCCCCACACGATAACGTCCATGCCACCCTTAGACACACACCAAACTCGTCGTTTCCCATTCGGGTTCCACAGAAGGTCCTGATGCTCCATGCCACTCAGTGTGTGTCCGGTCTATCTCAATTTCCTTCCAGATATTTGTTGCTTATCCATTCCCGTCAGCCATCTAATCTTCAGAAGGCAGCTGTCGTTTTATGAACGTCTGCAACAACCTGTTGGAAATGCTTTTGGTGACGCTTCAAGTCTCCGAATTATATAAAATCATTGACTTGACATTGGTGTTGAAAATTTCTCCACTGAATTCAGAGTAATGAGTGCCCGTTTCTTTTTTCCGCTTCTGACTAACTTTGACATCCTCATCGATCCCGTCTGAGATTCATAGAATATCGCCGAGTTAAGTGTAAGAGGTGACTTTCTTTAGATTTCTCCTATTGATTATGATTCCTACTTGTTGTTGTTCTGTCGAATATCTTCGTCGCCTCTATCTTCATCTGAAGCCTTGTCTTCACTGCATCTTCTGTCTATCTTTGCAAATCATTTGACATGTGGCCTGATAATCATTTTTTTATTCCTTCACGTTCCCAGTGGAAAATAGGGCTTCAAGCTAGAGTCTTGAAGTTTCGGTAGCAATGGTGTTTTTACATGATGGTGTTGCTAGCCTCATGCCCAACCTTTCCTCTTCACCAGGTTTATTTCTGGCTTAGTGAGGTAAAGGAGTGCGCCGCTCGGGGATTGAACCCCGGGCCATATGCATGGTCGGCGAGCGTGTTAACCGCTATGCCACCGACGCTCCTGATAATCATACAGCTGTGAAATGACGTTGATAATGATTTGCGTTGTGTTCACTGTGTAGTGTTGATATAGTTTCCGAATTAATTCACCGTCAACAAACGCTATCTATTTCTTCTATGGATGAGTTTTTTCATAGTCTAGATTAGTAAACACTTTCATAATTATGATGATATTAGATGGTTGGAGGCAATCGGCAGGAAACCTTGGACCTAGGTTTCGTGCTAGTTGGCCCTCTTCAGCAAGGCGTATCTGCAACCTTGAAGGAACTCATGTCCCTTCTGAGATTCGAACCCGCGTCACCGAGTGCTGCAGTCAGAGACGTTACCACTGAGCTATTCAGGCTTGCGACTAACGTCCTGTAGGACTGTATTGGATATTTTGATTTGACACTAGTTACAAGTGTCAAATCAAAATACTTTCATAATTAATTAACCTAAAAAATCACACATATCCGGCAGACAGGCAATTCTTGAACTGAGAGCTGTTTTTTCCTTTCACTTCCGCTAGTATTTTCACACTTGAACTGAATACACAGTGATTTCGAAATGGGAAAACTATAGTGTTATGTAACTAAGGCTTTACTGTTTATCATAATTATGACCAGAAAATCAATGGAACTGACATGATTTGATATCTGTGTGTGTATGATTTTAACTAAGTAATACGATATTTCGTAAAAAGGTCTGTCAATTATTATTCGATTAGTTATACACCATCAGTTCAACAACGAATACAATTTATCATATTATTCATTAACTAACTATTCAGCCTGTTAAAGTGCTTTCTTAGTTATTGTTTAAAGTAAACACTACATTATCAAATTAAGACACCTTCGTAAACATATATATATATATATTTGAAATGAGTCAGTACACACATGTAGCCCAACTTCATTGAAACATGGTAGTTTACGAAAAAAAACTGTTCAACTTTCAATTTGTGTGCATTACCTGTTTTGTAAACACTGATTTAAATGTAAAGATTTAAACACTACTGATATAATCGCATTCCATGTTAGTTAATTGGTTTATTAATCAACTATGATATAACATTAAATACTATGGTCAGAAGCATGTAAAAGACAAGCTCCTAAAGTGAAAGTAGGATTAGTCTAAATACGATAGATAACTTTAAATGCCTTGTTAAGATTAACTTCATGTTTAGTATCTACAAGACGAGCTGAATCAGAGCAGCCTTCATCGATTTCCATTGGTAATATTTTCACACTGTTATATAGCTAATTATGATTATGAAATGGGACAAAAATAGTTGTGCAACCAAGGCTTCACTGTTTATAGTTATCATCAAAAATCAATGGATGTTGATAGTATTGATATATACACTAGTGACTCATCAATATTGATTTTTTGCACCTGCATGAGTGAATTTACTGAATTCCCATTGGTTGTTAATATTTTTTAAATGTGACATTGATTTTCCTAACTGTATAAATACAGAGTTTTGTTTAACATTTTCGACTGTTGTAGAGACAGTAAAAGCTCTCGTATCAATATCCAGTCTTCTTTTATAGATAAGATTTTATTTTGATAAATCACACATTGTTGTACAGTAATATTAACTGATGACGTTTCGAGCATAAACTATTGCTCATAATCATATCAAGTTATCAAAATAAAATCTTATCTATAATGGAGTTATGGTCTACCACAGTGCCCAAGTTTTATACTTACATCCAGTCTTCTTTCTTTGTCTTGCGTGCCCGGCGTTATTGTTGTTGTTGACGTCCGATTAGGACAGATTAGCCAGCGTATTAAGTTAGATTCGCTCGTAGTCTACAAGGTCATAATATTCATACATAACATTAAGAATATCATCGTGGGTGATATTAGGCAGACAGCCTTGTCTTACTCCTTCCTATATTCACTTCGAACACCTCACTGAGTTATCCGTTGTGGATCACCTGGCACCTGACATTGTCATGTAGCCAGCTGTTTAATGAAGTTGATGAAGACTTGAGCACTGCACGCCGTGGTGTTGAAGTAGTTTCCTAACTACCTCCCGGTCAACACTATCTGGTGAAGGCCTTTTCGAAGTCTATCAAAGAATTTGAGGTAGATGTTTGACCTACATTCTTTGCCTCACAAATTTGCATTTACACATTTAGAAAAAACAACAG